GGAATGATTCCAATAGGTTCCGTACCATCAGCTGTTGGTCTGGCTTAATCCCACTTGATACGTTAATGTCTTTGTAAGTTTCTGTTTGTACTGAAGGAGGTAATGAAATTGATATTTCGTTGTTATCCATGTTCCCCTCATCAATCAATGAAACAGAGCAAAGTGATAAAACTCCACAGTGTTCATCATCTCTGTCAACGTACTTCTTTAACAAGTTTACGTGTAGGGTTTTAATCTTTCCTTCAACGTCAACTTTGTAGTCCATCTCTCCCATCTTCTCTACAATCTTATAGGGTCCTTTCCATTGCATAAGAAGTTTATTTGCCTTGGTTGGTAACAGTATCAATACTCTGTCTCCAGCTTTCATCTGTCTAGCTCTTGTTTTCTTATTGTAGTATTTTCGCTGTTTCATTTGGGCTTTCTGTAACTGTTCATGAGCTATCTTACAGGTATCTTTCAATCTTTCTCTAAGGTCTATCACATATTCGTAGGTGGATTTTACTTCTTCATCTGGTATATCTTCTGTCCACAATTCTTTCAGTATTTCCATTGGTCCTCGAACCTTGTGTCCATATAAGAGTTCAAAAGGTGAAAAACCTAAACTGTCTTGTGGTACCTCTCTGTAAGCGAATAACAGAGCATTCAAATATTTGTCCCAGTCTTTTGGTTTTTCCGTACACATCCTCTTTAGCATCTGCTTTAGAGTGCCATTGAATTTCTCCACAAGCCCATTACACATTGGGTGGTAAGGTGTTGTTGTGATTCTTTTCAAAGATAGTAAACGACTGACTTCTTTCATCACATCTGATGTGAATTGTGGTCCTTGATCTGTTAACATTTCTCTTGGAACTCCAACACGACTAAATACATCAACTAAAGCTTCCGCCACACGTTCTGTCTCTATTCCAGATAATGCTACTGCTTCAGGATAACGAGTTGCATAGTCAATTATGGTTAAGATATATTTGTTTCCTCTAGTGGTTCTTGGCTCTAGTGGTCCAACGATATCTACCGCAATACGCTGAAAAGGTTCAGAAATTACTGGCATCTGACCAAGTGGAACGGGAGGTATTCTTCCTTTTGGAATGGTTTTCTGACACACGTCACAAGAATTGCAAAATCGTTTGATGTCTGCTTGCACACCTGGCCAATAAAATTCTGATGTCACTCTGTCTATGGTTTTCTTTATCCCTAGATGTCCTGCCATTAATGTTTCATGTGCAAGTTTCATAACCAATGGTCGGTATTTCCTAGGTATAATCAGTTGTTGGAACGTTTTTCCATTGGACACTTTCGGACTGATGGAATCTCTGTACAACATTCCATTCTGCTCGTATATCTTGGTTGTTCTACCATCTCTGTACGTCTTCACTGATTTTCTTGTGAAAATTTTCTTAAGTTCTCCAGAGTTGGATCTGTTTGTTGTTCTTTCATGATTTCGCTTGGTGACACTTCTGTTAAAGCCTTGGGAACTCTTAGAGGTTTATAAGATGAAGGTTGTTTCTTTGACTGGCTTCGAGTTTGCACGGCAGTTGTTGTTCCATTAGACATAATCCATGATGTATCCGGATCCTCTGCTTTTCTTACTCCCTCGATATTTCCTAGAATCAAATCATAAGATGGATTGTCGAAACACCAGGCCATAACATTTTCTGAGAAGTAAGGTGTGTCAACATTTACTTCTGCGACATCTGCTTCAATCACACTACCATCTGCCAAAATACATTTTTGAATTTTCCCTGTCAACTGTTCTGGTTTAACTAGATCTCGTCGAATGACAGCACGACTGCAACCAGTGTCTCTAAGAACGTTCACTATTTTGTTTCCAATGCATCCTTTAACAATAGGCATTGATACTTCACTAATCGTGAAAGATTCAGTAACTTGTGGTAAGTTCTGTTTGTGTATCACCGATGATCCTTGACCTTGTCGACTGTTTCACAATATTGAACACCACTAAACTCCCCGATGACCTCAGATTCAACGGATATTGGACGATGCTCGGCCATACATCGGCCGATCTTGAAAGATGTGTTAATGATGGGTTGCCCATGAGGAGCGATGTGAGGAATCGTTGGAGACATCGCTGAATTTTAACTACGAATTATTTCCTACCGATGACCCCATCGATTCGCAAAAAAGACTCAGTCACCGTCCGATCACTAGGGGTGCCCGGCCGGCAACCACGCCATTTTCATCAAAAAAAGCATCGGTTTCTCATCGTATACCCCATCGTTGGATAATGTGACTTATACTTAACCTGGCACGGCTAGGGAGGGAACGTTATACGACGTCGGAAACTGAGGAACACTGGAGGTGTACTGACAGCTGGGTCTGGCGAAGGCATGTTGCTGCTGCTCCGCTTGTTCCGACATCAGATGAGACAGGATCTTATTTCTTTGCTGAACGTCCATTTGGTCCAAAAGTTGTGTGTTGAAGGGATGGGTCCACACGAAACCGGAAACGGGTATTGACAGGGTCTACGCTGAAACGAGGCTGTAGTTTTCTGATGATCCAAGCTGGAAACAAATATTTAAACGAATCATCAAAAAAATAAAGTTTAGGTTGATAATTGAAGCATTATATATGTATAGTTTTCGTACCTTTGGCCAGTTTGATTTGAAATATATGTTTGTGTTATAAATAAATTGTATTTATCAAACTAGATCCGAAAAGTTACAGAGAACACATCATCCAGACCTAATTTCAAGTAAGTTGATACTTACCCAAATAAAATGAAAAGAAACTTGATTAATACTTGTATTACGTATATTCAAACTTAGTTTCCGTGCAAAGTATACCCCGTGTTCCAATATTTCTGGTTTGGGTGAATAAATTGAACTTGAACTTTAATAATTGAAATTTCATAGAAACTGAAAGTAATGCATGGATCTATTACAGGTTTTTCACATTTTCAGTGGGTTCAATTTAATCTTTGTATATTTATTTATCATTTCAATTAATTTAATTACACGTATTCTAGTATTACTTACTGGGAAATCGGTGGAGACAACACGTGCTGTTGCCCATCAACGGGGACCAGCTGACTAGAACTGCGCATGTCTGAGTTATAAAACTGTTCAACATCTTTAACATCTATAGCATTATAACACGGGAACCCTTGGATTGTCTATTGATACTTGAACGTCTGTTTTGGGACCAAACCTTTAAAAATATAATGATTTTTGTACCAGAAGCATATAGTCCATTGCTGATTCATTTTCATTATCAAGACTCTTAACATATTTCTTAAAGGCAAGATACCATGATAATGTTACCATTATTAGACGTTCGTACGTACATTTCTTGATGAAAAACACATCATGCTTCACTAAGATCAAATTTACTACAATTAGAAGAACTAGCCAGGAAGCAATTTTTGTTTGGGGAGGGGGCACAGTCATATATATTTTCAGTCTGGGAAAAACTACTGAAATTTCCTCGTGATCCCCTCCCCCTAACAAAATGTCTTCGTTTTATTGAGGGGGCACGAGCATACATTAGCAATATTTTCTGTAGTTTATCGAGCCAACTTTTTTTTCGAAGCCAATTGTAACTTCCTTCAGTTGCAATTTTTTTGGCCTAAAATACAATATTTCCTTCTATCACAGAGAGTTGGGCTGGGGCAACCAGCCTTTCAATGATTATATTCCATAGTGTAAGTAATATTGGCCAAAAAAGTGGGGGTTGGGAGGGACCAGCTCCCCCCCCCCCGCCCCCTGTTTCTACGTGCCTGATTAAACTAATTTTGTTAAAAGTAAATACACATTGCCATGTATTTCTATCAATTAAGATTGCCGATTTATTAATTTATATAGGATCCTATTGATTTCAATTCATTATTATTTGGATTCCTACAAGTTGAGCTATTTTCCTTTCAATATAGATAGCTAAAAGTAGCTTATCGGTTACATGCAATGTTCAAATTGAAGAAGCAAAATATATAAAGTCTCAAAATTAATCCGGAAAAAAATATCTGACATAATATAATGTAAACAATTGAAAACTTGGCAGTTTGCCGATGCACATAAGGCGGACGTAATATATAAGTGTTAGCATGTGATTTTGAGTGTTTTGGATAACTGTCTAAATGATGGGATAAACTTTGTAAGATACTTTTATTATTTATAAACTATTATATAAATAAATATCAATCAAAAATAACATTATTGAACTTAATCATCATTCAAAAGGATAGGCTGAAGTGAGAAAAACTAAAGAGTTGCAACATGTACAATGAAAGTAATAGATCTATGCAGAACCGATAAATGTGTAAACAGACTTTTTAGGGTAAGTATCAAGTTCTTTCTAGTGCACTTATTTTCCAATGTTTTGATAAAAATAAAAATTCGTAGTGCGTCAAAGTAAGTTATCAATGCGTGGCCTTTCTTTGTTGAAATAAGGGACATTATTGTGAAATCAGGGCTTAGTTTAATATAAATAATACATGTATTGATGGACTTACAACTCATGATCAAATATCCTTTAATATGTAGAAGTAATTAATGTGTACTGCTGGACTAACATTATGACTTTGACAATTTGTCCTATCTTCTAATTGCTAATTATAAATACATGTATGGAAAATAAAAAATTTAAGTTATTTCTATGGACGACTAAAAAAAACCATTACGCTGATTTTTTTAAATACACCACGATGCAAAGCAATGCCGATTTCATGTATACAATGCATTTTGCAAGCGCAATAACTAAAGTGGTCAATGGTTGAATGATTTTGGATAAAGGGGTGGTTATTTATTACTCAGATATATTATTTATCACGGATTTTAAATGTAAAAAATAGTTTTGCTCAAGGAGCCCGATGGTTTTATAAAAAAAAAATCAATGCTGATCGCTTCAATTCATCTTCAATCACCAAAAATAGAGTTAGTATTGATCAGCAAAATGGAATTTCATAAGATGGGAAAAACCCATCCGTTGCATTACGCCATACTGCATGTGTAGTTATCGATGATGTTCATTATTTCAGAGAGGACTCTCTAGTATGCCCAGGAGGCCGGCGGATCTTTAAATGTCTTCTTTAAAAAAATAGATATCAAGTAAGTTATGTATATTACCAATAACTTAGATAGTTCTTTTATTTTAACTATTCTAACAATGAAGCGTATTGAAGTAAAATTTGAATGGAACGTTTTGAGCTATCTTTAGAACGTTAATTGTCATACGAGGGCTGTTAAATAGATGATGTCCTCGGTGCTCAGAAAGAGACAAAAAGGTTTTTTACAATTATGTAGTCTTTTTGATTTCACTTAAATATTCTACTTTAATTAAAACACATGTCCGTAACATTTTATCCAATTTCTGATAATGTTTTTAGAACGCATCTTTGAGTATGGCCCTTCGTATACTGGAATATGGCAGATCCTATGATTTCCTAGACTTGTTTCTTCTTTCTGAAAGGTGTTTTAGTCAAATTTGGAAAATGAAACAAGTCAAATGGTGAAAAATCTGGCAAATATTGTTGGTATGACAAAATATTCATTATCTATTTATCCCCAAAACTCCTTTACTCATCATGGCGTCTTGGTTTGGACATTTTATATTAGGGTTCAAAAAAAATTAATAATGAAGGAAAAATATCATTCCAAACAAAAAAAAATGACAGGTAAATGATAAAAGATACAGTGCAAATAAATGGGAGGGTAAACATAATCCATCTTCGAAAAAAATTACAAACGCAAGTGTTAAAATCTTTCAAAATAATTTTTTTATTTACTTATATTTTAAACTTGTAAAAGTTTATTCTTGGAAAAACGTAACTTTAGGCACCCCCGCCCCCATTATAAGTGCTGAAATTGTATTCAATTCATTGTCTATACAAGAATCAATAATTTCTCTTTTTAAAACACCTCGCATTTTATCATATTGTAAAAGGGCTGTATAGTACAAAATGTATACACATTTACCTTACCTCAGATGAAAATATGCTGATGAAGAACAACAGGGCTTTTGTGACTCAGATGAGCATTGTGGCCCGCGTGGGTCTATTGTTTGAATAAAACCTTGAAAAACTAGTGAATGATGAATTGGCTGCATTTCATTTCCGGAATTTTTTGTAACTATCAACTTTTCATTTCCGACCTTTTCCAGATAGTACCTTTATTAACAGGTTTGAAGACTTTACTTCTATTATTCTCCTTTTTGATTTTAAGTAACACAGATGCATATTTTTCGTATTACAGTGAACAATGCTTCTAGAATTCTATCAAGATCTTTAAAAAGAAGAGGAAAAAAAACTGACAAACTAAATGCATGAGATGCAGATGTAAATATCATGAATAAGTATTACGAGGTCTTACTTGATTGCTATACAGATTTCCGGGATACTATAGACCCCAGAATTATACAAGGAGAGCTCGTACAGCAAAGACTTATCACACCGAAACAGATGGAAGAACACATCAAAAGTTCTGTTCGCGCACAAAGTTGTGAAAATCTTTTGAACGAATTTCTGAAAATGCCGGATAAAATAAAATTTTTCTTGGAAATACTGGATAAAGACCATGGCTTCTTAGTGGAAAAGTTTTATTCCAAGTTTCTTGAAAAATATGGTTCGGAAAACATACAAGAACCAGGAAAATTAAAGATTTTTACAAAATATAGACGGGAAAATTCTGTTCCTTTACGACATCAACTAAAATTATTGTCACATAAAGGGAAAATACAAAAATTTAATTCATTGATAAAGTTTTGGGAAGATAAATGGGAGTCGGAAATACCTTACATTAAAAACAATACTGAAAATACAAAAGAACTTCGACACTTGGCTGATATGTATTTCATGACTTTGGATGCTCAGCTTGAACATCGTCGCGTAATTTGTGATCGCACGCTTATTGAAGATGACGTTCTTTTCACCAAAGTCAAAAACGTCTCGGCCATGACTTCTGAACCATATCTGTCATACATGATGTACTTTGCCAGACATGGATCTGCAAAACTTTTAGCGGGGATGTCACTGGATGAAAGTATATATGAAGTTGAAGAGGCCTTAAGTCGATTTGAAGTAATTCCAGCGTGTCGAGAAACTGGAATTGTGCTATACATTTACTTTAACATGCTATCAAGTAAATATGAAAAAGAACCCACGGAACAAGAGAGAAAAACTCTACTGAAAATAGCCAGTGAAGCTATTAATCATTTTGGAAGAGAAGATGAAAAGATGGCTGAAGACTTTAAAAGAATGGTTCTGACTAAAATTGCACTTGTACACCTTGGAATTGGAGTTTTTGGGAATCAAATACCGAAAATTATTGTTACTAATGAAAACAAAGTACAGGCAAGTGAAATTCTTACGGAAATACAGGAGAAATATTGGGATAAAATGGAGGTGAGGTGGAAAATGTTTTTCTTTATTGCAAAAACAAGAGTTCAAGAACTAGACGGAAACACTTCAAATGCTTTATACTGCATAACTAGAGCATTGGTATTTTCACTTCAAGGAAAATTTAAAGGAGAGGGACTTCACATAGAGAAAAAATTTGCTCAGTTATTCTGTCAAAAGAAAAGAGCTCTTCGGAAGAAAATTCCTCAAAAAGGAACTTGACGTTACTCTAGACAACGTATAACGCCGAGTCATTAATAAAAGTTCAAATCTATCAATCAATATCTCTTTAAAGATTCTTAAAAATGACTCTTGTTTTTCAACACTTCAAAACAAAAAGGTGAGGGGATGAAGAAAAAACTGTTTCATAACATTCCCCTGTTAAACAATGTTCTATATAATAGCCATTTCAACATTTTTGAATTTTCTTAAAAAGAAGTTTTTATGGTAAATTCAAATGTGTTTCTTCACTTGCCTTAGTTTCAGTGTGAGAAGTATATATCATGATATACAATAATTATTGTTATATGCGTGAAAAAAGAACATACATGCTGCTAAAGAGAGAGATGAAAGCAAAGAAAACACAGAGTACGGAAATATTCAACTCTTGTTATCTATTTCCTTGTGTTTATACATGTATCTCAAGAGAAGATAAACACACACACAATCACGAAAATCATGCATCTCAAACACATTTATTTCCAATTTTTTTTTATAGATATTTGTAAAAGGTTCATGCGGGTACCACAATATGTTGAAGGATTTTGCGGAGTGTAAATGGCAATCAAGTTATTTTCCTTTTTGGAAGATTCTACTTTATTTAGGGTTGGAGGGTAAGTTTCTGAACTCCATGCTCGGGTGTTATTATCTATTTATT